TCTTCTCGGAAATGTTTGGCCAGTTTTCTTATTTGGGGGACAAACATAAAATTGGGAACACACCAATTTTAAAACCAGAAGTCTTCCTGTATAGAGGGAGAATACCCAGGCTCGGCACAGATAACACAACAACCTATCTTCTGCACCCTCTTTTCCCCCACTCTTTCTTGGAACGCTCATCTCACGTGATGACTAATACTTGTGCTATCGGTTCTAATCGCAGTCGACAGTAGTCACTTGTTAAGCCTCATAAAATGGAAGTTCAAAACTTTTCAGAACTACGTACGACAAAATAAGAGCAGTGCCTCGTGTTCGATAATTATGCCATCATGGCGCACCGAATACATTACGTTACAGCCCATATATGTCTATGCACTGCTGGGTGAAAGCCTGACTACACTGAGGATTGTTTAACCACATTTCACCACGCTGGTTGGTAAAGAGTTGGTCCAGGTCCGGTTTGGATATCACCGCCGATGTTGGTCATGGCCGGGAATTTTAATTCAGGTCGCCAAAGTTAATATGTCGTGCTGGGCACGAATCACTGCGCCACACTCCACACACCAATTCAACTGCAGTCCTGTATCTTGAATATTCCCCCTGAGAAACCCACACTGAATTGCATGGTGAACTATGGTCTAATGACTCCCATGGCTGATACAACGTTGGGAGGTGTTCCTCCAGTAGTGGGTTAATAAAGGGCTAAATATCACCATCATCTCATCATATAGTAGTCTTGGTGCTCTGATGTGAGAGTACGTGATGAAGTACGTTGTTCAAGGGTGTTCGCGTGTACGTCTGCAAATAAGGAGCGGTAGTGTCGTGACCAATAACAGTGACGAATATCTTTTAGCCGGCCATAGGACTCCCCTTCAAGTATACCCGGCACGGTGTGTAAACATCAGTACTGGGGGAGACGTTCCATAGGCGATGCATGGCCCCCAACAGCCTGTTAAAGACTTGACGGGAGCGTGCGATATATTGTCTTTGCACTTGGGCAATGTACGTGAACGTCCCATTCGTCCGCCGCCGTCGTGGACAGGCGAGCACGAGTTTGGCTCGCTCCGCGAGATGAGTGGTCGCAGGAGCACGTGGCACACAAGGCGCGCCTGGCGGGCAGGGCACGCCGGTCATTCTTCGGGGCTTACTTATCTGAGCGCACCACGTGTGGATATCCCGGGCTGCACGGGTTGGGTGCAGACAGGACGCATGCTTTTCTAATTAGATTGTCACGATTGGTCGCGCGTGACCGTGGAACATTTTGCAGGCCGAGCGAGCACGTCAAATATTCTCACCTACACATACACGCACACAAAGACAAAGATCCTCCGTATAGCCTCTAACGGACTGTTGGGGCATGTGTTGTTAGCGAGCACCACGCCCGACCGCCTTTGTCTCCACCGTGGCGATGTTTTTTTACACACACTGCACCAGGTACTCAATTGAGGCTGATTTGACCTCGGGGGAGACCGAGCAGCGATTCAGAAAATCGTCACTGGTGTTGACCATGAGCGGGAATCGAACTTGCGTCGTTGGGTTCGTAGCACAGCGCGCTAACCGTTGCACTAACGCTCCCCACACACACACACTGGATAGCACAAAGATAAAGATCCCCCGTGTAGCCTAAACAGACTGTTGGGTGGCCAACACCACTCCCGACTGGAGAGCACACACACACACGCGCGCACGTGTGGTGGGTACCACTCTTCTCGGGAGCAGGTCCACCTCTCTCCCCACTAACCCCACCCCCCCCCGCCCCACCACATTCTGGAATGCAGATCTGTCAGGGCGCACAGCTGGTGTCCGATTAAAGTTAACGGGGAAAGAAATGGCTCCGAGCCATGCAAACATTGCGAATCGCACACAACCATCTCTGAATCCCAGAGCCAACATCCCTTTTGAATATGAGAAATGTGGCGTCATTAAATTACCATAGACGGTGGAACACAGCGAAATGACACTCGTGGGCCACTCTACATCATTCTAACCGTGCCCCGTGTTGCAGAGCTCACTTGACCATCCTCGGGAGCGTCACATTGGCTTTTCTTCGTGCGGCATCTACTCTGATTATTGTCACGACTGTTTGAGATCCCGGCAGCATGATATTAAGTGGGTACGTAAGCATTTCAATATCTGTGGCCGAAAATACATTTTCGCGCAACACTAGTATATGTCCACTGCGTCCAAAAATAGCTTCTTAAAGCCTGTGCCGGGATTCTTTAATGTCCTGAGGCTGTTTTCGTTTTCAGTTAACGCACTGGTAATTTGCTAGTTGACGTTTAACCAGCAATTAAGTGCACCGTTTATATTAACGTTTTCATTCTTGTTTTTATTGGACCCATTGCAACAATCACAACAGAGAACGTGCAAAACACGAGAGCGCCGTTTTCATTCTGAATAAAGTGAGCATACGTTGCCAACAGGGGTTATGGATGAGCGGTGGTGTGGTGGTTTTCATACTACAGTAATTCCTCGATATACGAAGCAGATTGCGTTCATGGAGCTTCGTTCGTATATTGAAACTTCGTATATTGAATAAGTTATAACATTAGTACTATGAAGATACGTTCCCAGAATTCGTAGCTTACTGTTTCATACTCTAAACACTTAATAACTCACCATTCATAATGTAAACAAAGACAATTTATATTTAAAATAATATATTTTATACTGTACATTATTACAATTTAAAACACGACGTGAATGAAATAAACATAGTGATGAAACACAATTGTATTCTTATTAATATCGTACTGGAGATCGACACATCTGTTCTTTATTTAGTGATCTCAGTATTCATTCGTTATTTAACTTTATTTGTATTGCCACGAAAATATTAATGGTAAGACGTCCAAAGTTCGTTTTACTGACACTTCATATGACGAATATTCGCTGATCGAGGTATTACTCTCGAGTATGAAATCGGTGATTTGAGTTCAACTCCCAGTAAGGTATGCGAACTATGGCATGTGCTTCCCTTCCCCAACCGCTACTGACCAGCCTCGAGTACCATTGCATGGTCAAACAACCCCCATGGCATGGGAAGGCGTTCATCCAGCGGTGGATTGACAAAGAGATATCATTATATATAGCATGTATATGTTACCGATGGATATATAGTGGCCCAAATGTCAGACTTGCGTGTCTGGAAAAGATAACTTATTGGAGTCCAGCACAGTCTGTGATGGCTTAGAATATGGCAATTTGAGTGCCCTTAAGTAATCATCGTCGCCACCAGCCATGATCTAGGCACTGCACACAATCTATACGCCTCTGCTCACTCGCTACTTTCATTGCTCTATCTCCGGAGTAGACGTACTCTCTCGGGTGTAATGCCTCTGGTCGCAATTCCGTCATTAGTCTCGACCATCTTTCAGCGACGTGTTTTTTAGAAGAATGCTTACGTTGCTTACCGGTAAATGTGATGTCTGTAATTTGCATTTGTGCACTAATTCACCTGCAAATGCAACCCTAATTCACTTGCAAATGCAAACTTTCATCAGCATAAGGCCATTGTGTGGCAATTTGGTGAGATTTAGCACAGACCAATTCAATGTAATCACCTGTAATGGTTTGCAAATCAAAATCTCCTTAAAGAACCCTACAAATTCTTGAACATCATCAATTGTATATTGTATTAGTAATGTGTTCTCAGTGAACGGGTATTGATCTATCATATTCTTCTTTGGTTCTTTCGGTAAAGTCACGTAGAATGAGAATAAAATAATAAATTGATAAAATAAAATAACACAATAATATTCTCACGACGTTTCGGCCACAACACAAGCAGCCTTCATCTGATGAAGGCCGCATCTGATGACAGCCGCTTGTGTTGTGGCCGAAACGTCGTGAGAATATTATTGTGTTATTTTATTTTATCAATTTATTATTTTATTCTCATTCTACGTGACTTTACTGAAAGAACCAAAGAAGATGAATCATTGCAGTCACGAAAGCTTTAAATCGAAATCTATATTATTTTCTAGAAATTTTTTTTTGAATGTGGACAAGTGATGTAGTTGAGATGTTAATCCACAGAGATTAATCAAATACAAACTCACACGTTGTGTTACAGCAACAGTGTCTTTGTGTTCTAAGCAATATTTGCATATTTAATTTTACAAAGCTATGGAGCACATCGTTATCATCATCAGCCTTGATCTTGTCACTGCTGCATGAACGTTTTCCCGAGCCGTCACCACCTGTAATGGCCTCGTGATACAATAATCCATTTAGCTCCTCCTTGTGAGTTCTTCTCATCACTCCATCGCCACAGTGGACGTCTCTTACTCTCCGGCATATTCTGTCCTCTGTTGTTTTTTTCGGCCCGCCGGTCGACCATCCCTTCCAGCGATGTGTCCTTCCAAAGCCCACTTTTCTCTACAGTTATAGTAATATAATTTCTCTCACTTGCACATGTTCCGTGATGCATGCGTCCCACCACTTTATTCCTCTCGGTGTGATTCAAGACATGCAACTTTCCATGCCTCTTTATGCACATTTCAGCATTCATTCTATATCCTTATGCAAGGTCCATACAGTAATTATGATCCATATGTCATAGCAGCTAATACTGATTTACAATTTGATTATTTATTAAAATTTATATGACACCATCGTTCATTATTTAGTGCAAAAAAATATATTTTACGAGTGCGTATTAATTATAACACACTAGAGGCATGAATAAGTAAAATATGAATTAAAACACATCAACCCACAAAGTTATTCCACAGATATGGAAATGTCGATCAAAACATTGACAAACTTTCACATTTATTTTTTTTGCCAAGACATTTTAATTTCCTATAATTTCGCTAAATGCCACTCAGAGCGTCTGCTGCCTTGAATGTATTTTCCCTCTTGATCAATGGATGCTCGCAGGCACATTGCATCCACCGCAACACGAGAGCACCGGCATTGAAAGCGTTCCAGTCAGTGAGCTTTTGGAGATTGGAGGGTACTATCTTGACAGTTGACCTGCGGCTGATCTCTTTCAGACGCTCAAGCAGTGGAAAATACAGTGCCCGCGCGTAGGCAAGTCGGCGGTGGCGAGGTTAGCGTCGCATTCACACGCACTCGGTCCGTTCATTCCCCGCATCCAAGCGCGTCTTTGGCGCAGACTTAACGAGCGAGCTCGTTCAGGCGCGGGGGCTTTCAAAGGGACCTCCGGTGGCACTTGACTTTCCGACGAGGCACGGAGAGTCACAGCGGCGGGCCACAGCAGGCTTTGGAAAGGGACGAGCCGCGGGGGCGTCGCTGCGACACGTGACAAATGTGAGCCGGCACAACGCGTGCTCAAATGGGTTAGCGGCACGCTGGCGGCGGGGCATTAAATGCGTTCTGGCGCCGAAGACCCGGTCCCGCCATGCCTCCCCTGGGCTCAGACGCCCGCTGAGGGATAAGCGGCGCAGGCGTTGCTCGTCTTGAGTGTTTGGCGCTTGGCTTTGCCATCACTTCTAATCTCCAGTCGCTTCGCGCGGTCCCGGGCTCACAGTGAGCGCGCCCGCTGTTAATTTCGCTTGACGTTCGCCGCAGACGCTTCCGCAGCCGGGGAAGATCGTGCGGTGTTTTATCAGGAAAATTATTTTAAAGCTTTTCTATATCGTCCGTTAGTGTTTGAGAAAAACATTTCGTTGAATTTTGTTTTGCCCTTGCTGACAACCTTGAGACGAAAACAGGGAGACATTACATGCCCAATAACTGAAAATATTACGCAGCACCACTAAAGTGCTGCAGATAAAATGTTTCAAAGCTCAGATGGAGCTTACAAGTGCGGTGATGCATCGGTGTGACAAACGCACATGTTATCTTATTTGCAGTTTTCTAAGCCTTGACTTATAAATAGTTGCCTTTGCAGTACGAAATTTGTTTGCAGGAATGTATGCAATATCGCTTCACTGGGCTAAGCTAAATATATAGAGAACTGTCTTGAAATTGACAGAATCATCTCTGTAATCAATGGCTATCATGTATATATGCATGCATTTTCATTTGTAGAACTTCTCCTCGACCACTCCACCAATTATAATGAATGGGGAGTTATTTAAAGGCTAATGATATGTTGTTTATTCAAATGAGGGCTAATGTAAATATGTTTTTACCTTTGACCCATTCATTTCGCTCATAGCTTCTCGCGCTGCATTGGAAAAAAATAAAAGCTAGCATGCGATGTCTCAGCAAACATGCCAACGCTGGCACGTGGTTGAAACCGTTGGACGAACGTTTCTTCGACATTGACCCAACGTTCCATGTTTTATGGGGTGGGTCCCACCGTCCACCGTCTCTCTTTACGATCGTGCCACATATGCAGGTTATGGGATGGAGGGTGTGCGGGGACTGGGGGGGGGGGGTGAAGCGGGCGAGGGGAGTAGCCGCTGAATCTCAACGGACTTCCCACCGTGGAGTATAACCTGGTGAGCGGTGAGGGTCAGGTGAGTGGTGAATGGCTCACCAGGGTCACGTGAGTGTCACGTCACCCAGACCATTGGACAGGCTGGCCACTAGTAAACTGCAACAGATATCCAAAAATCCATGCGTTGATACGTTAAATTCATCCACGATGAACTTGTGGACTACTAGGTTACAAATACTCCTAAGACCCAAATCCCATATATATACCATATGGCTCTCTGTTTGCATTTTTACTTGAAATCCCCGTCTAAAACATGCAAATTTCGTTATCAACTAAACATATTCTGCCAAGTGGGAGTTGTGTTTCCTCCACCGTTCGTGCCCATACTTTTAAGATCTTCGCCAAGTCTCCTCCAATTCTTCCGTGGATCGCCCGATTTTATTTTTGTCTCCTGGGATCCAGTCCCTAACTTGTTCGGCTTTTCGGTTGTTACCCATTCATTGTACATGTCCTAGCCACCTTCCTCTTCTTCATTGACATCCTGGAGTATTATATGAAAATAAAGTCCCAAATCAATACAGAACCAAGCAGCATCAGGCTTGTGGTTGTGCATCATTACTTTAAAGATATCAGGGAGGCTCTGGATAATGTGCGGCTGCGGATTGCAGTAGGGCTGGGATGATGCATCGATGTAGCTTGATTCTTGACCCGAACGATGCACGATGCTTCGAATCGTTTCGAAAAGTTTTTATTTATTTATTTTCTCTCTGTAATACGTAATTGTGCGTTCATGTAAAAAGTAAAATCGTTAATAGGAATAACATATTGTTGACTAAGGTCACCGAATGCCTCGCGAAAGTTGAGTTGTCATGTAATATCGGCTGCAAAAACCTACATGTTCAATTGTGATATTTGTATGAAATACTCCGCAATGTTTTGCATTGATATGCACTGCGAATAATATTGTGCATAGACTTGGAAAGCTGTCCCATTGGCGAGCCTTGACGACTCCTTGAAAAATAACACCGTTAACATATATTGTGCACAAAGAAGGCCTATTTCGTAGGATTCTGCTCCCCTTGCGATTCAATGTATTAAGTGTAACTCAGCGTCACAATCGAATTCAATAAAGAAAATTCCATATTTGTGTGAACACAATACAACATTCAAATTGAAAGGCATCGGTTCTTATACACGCGGTGCGACGGACGCATCGCGAGCTTATGAATCAATATGAATCGCTTCGTGCTTACGCCCCTTGACATGTACGCGCTCTAGCGCCTCGCATACATCTACGATGAAGTCTATCGGGGGGCAGAAACGCATTGTGATCTATATTAACGACTCAAATCTCATATACGCGCGCGGATATATGGACACCGCGCATGTATATTAATGCTCTACTGTATGCCACTTCCAATGCATGTTTTTTTTACCTCGCTAATAGTAACCGTGCTCTCAATGGACGTGTCAATTACTTGCTGATGAAACGTTGATTAGATACTGCACAGGGGTTTTGAGCCGGTGCAGCAAGGGCCTTTGCGGCCATCTGTGATAGTCCAGCCGTGGTGCGTACAAAGGGGGCTCGGGATGACCTTCTGATATGCGCTGGATTAACGAGTGATTGAGTCGAGCTTAATACAGTTAGGGATCGGAAGCTGCCCTGCCCGCATTTAAATTAAACACAAGTACAACACTTTAATTGACATCCCTCCGCACCTAGATGAATAACGCGTTCCAATGGAGGCAATCCTTGTTTAATGGTTTAATGAGCACTTTATTTACATTTTTATGGACATTGACAAGGCTTTTTGTTTCTTCTTCTGGAATATTATCATTTACATCGGGGATAATGCCATCATATATGTGCATCATCAAGTGTTAATTTGAAGTTACTGCATGCATTCTGCAAATTACTAATTACATGAGAAGAAAAATAATAATGAATGATTTATTATTAATTATTAATTATTAGAATTTATAACGAATTTTCTTTCGTAACTTCTTCACGTGAAAAAGTATATACGTGTAGAAAATCATACAAAATCACATGCTTCGTAATTAAACTAACACATTTCATACGTGGTCGTGTCTCTCTGCAACGGTCTTTACAGGTAACCATTTTGTTCGTGTTTTTGTTTTTTTTAGTTGTGGTTGCACCCGATTCAAGAGCCGAATGGCTCTTTACCAAAATAAATAAACTGCGTAAAACTGAAAAGAAACACGAAACATTCATGCAGAATCTCCAGAAATTTGACTTTAAGTTTAGGGTGACTTATAAAACAATTAAAAAATGCACGATGGGATTATTCATAACCTCTCTGGAAAACAATTTACACCAGTGAACAAAATAATCAATTAAAAGGTTTCATTCCGTTTTCTGCAGTGTAGCCCCAGCCGGAGGCAGCGTATTGGATTATGTAGATGCATTGTTTGCAGTCTGACATTCCTTACGTCCTAAATGCTGACCATGAGGTTATTTTACTCAGATAATGCCCTAAGCAGGCGTGATTCACAGATTTATTTATAATGTTGTTGAGACATTTTAATTATTAATTCATGTGTTCACGTAAGTGGCAAGAATAAAGAATTCACCATGAAATGAGTAATACAGCACAAGATAATTGCTTTTATTCTCATGATTATTATTAATGAGTTATTTTCTCATTACACAAAAAAGAACAATTACTCTGCTTCTGTAAATATAAAACAGACTGGTTAGATTTTGCTCCAATTTAATACGGTTTACATTTTATCTCTGTTATATATTTTTTTTCAGAAAACAAAGTTGAGTTTTGGGGGTACAGGCCGCAGCATAGATAAATAATGTTTTCATTATAATTTTTTTTAAACTAAGTTGGGGAATGTGAGTTGTTGTTCATTCATGTGCAATATTTATAAAATTACGTTGCTGTGATCCTCGCGTGCAAAGTTTATTGAGCTAACCCCGAGGGATTTTGAACCTGGCCTTGTGAAGGGAATTACAAAACTTGCTCCACTCACCCCACCTGACAGAATCGAGGTGAAGTGTGTGCTGTGCAAGAGACAGAGATAAGGATTGAGCAGCCTATCAGCTTCTCCACAGTTGGGAAAAGCTTCATTTCCATGCTGCGTTTATTATTATTTATATATTTTTTTATCCGGAAACTACACTTGATGCAGGCTAGTACTGATTCTCACACACTCGAGGTGTCAACACTGAGAACATTGTTGGAATCAATGGACTGGCCAAGTCGCTCTGAGTTCGTCCATTCTCATCAGATCTTTGGAAGGTAAGCAGGGTTAAGCTTAGTTATTCATTGGATGGGAGACTACCAAGGGAAAAAGACGGCTATTTTAGGATACAAATTGAGCAATCATTGGAAGGATGTTATTAACCAGGTAAAACCCTAACTGCTTTATGGTTGTTGTCTATCATATCTGCCGGGTACTAGTCTATTTTTTATGAGTTAACTTCCCCCTCGCATCCCCAGCTCCCTCGGCCTCCCACTTCCAGCCCCGCCCACTTCCCCCCCGCCCCCCAGCCTCACGTCCCTCTCCTAGCGTCCACGCAGCGCCCCCCCCCCCTCTCTCCCCCTTGCCCCTCCCTCTTTCTTACCTGTATAGCCTCTTACCACGGCAACTCTCTCTCTCCCCCCTTGCTCCTCCCCCTTTCTTACCTGTATAACCTCTTACCACGGCAACTCTCTCTCTCCCTCCTA